AAGGCCTCCGAAACTTCAGGATTGCAAAATAGATTCTCTAGGGTGCGGGGCTCCCAGAGTTCTCGGACATCTTCGCCCACGGGGTGAGACAGGACCGTCTCGAGGTCCTCGCGGAACTGGCGGGCCCAGGGGTGCACGTCCATGGACGGGTTGAGTTCGCCATTCTCAAGGACTGTGCGCGCTGCTACTGGCGCTCCTGCCGCGCGCGCTCGTTCCTCGAACCTGCACTCTCCAAAGAAGGCACTGAGGTAGTGACGATGGTGTTCAGGATTGTTCATGATCGACTGCCACCACCCCAACCTCCTTATCATCAGCTCCACCACCGTGGGCGGGATTTGCCATTCTTCAAAGACAGCTCGGGACGTGAGGGACGTGCGGGTGCCATCTTCGTGCTCAACATGTGCTGCACCCGCCATCATCGCCCTCATCTTCTCTGCGAGGGAGGTGTCGAGGGTCCGAATCTCCAAGGGGGTGAGTACATGCGCTTCCAGTCCAGACCAGACGCGGCCAGCAACGTTGGCCAGAAAGGTACTCCTCTTACTCCTCCATGGGCCTGGCGCACTCCAGTACTTACGTAGGTTGCACCATCCTATAGATCCTGCGCGTACTCGTGCTTGCACCTCATGTTTGTTGCTGCCGTTAACATTAATGTACCCCCCAAGTGTTTGAAACTCATCATCGTGCTCCCCGATACCCGCTCCTCCGCCTCCTTCGTGTCCCTGCATGTCGCTAGATGTACGAGAATCTCTTGCTTCTGAACATGTTGTGCATATCCGCCCTCCTCGAGATACTTGTTTAAAATCTGGTTATCAAGGTGGTCGAGGCTCACGGCCTCGCGTGCTGTTCCACTCGGTATGATCAGGACTCGGATCAGGTCGTCAATGAAGCCGCCAAAGGCGAGGTCGTCCCATCTGTCATGTAGGGGGCCTCTACTCGAAAGGCTGTCTCCAATGATGGTTCCGAGCTCACGCTGCCACGCACTGACGATCGGGTAGAAGGACTCCATAAACAGTTCTGGCTCATTCGAGTCGCCCATCCTCCCCCCCGTCTTCGGTGCCATTGCCACGTCCCCGTCACTCGCCTCATAATACAATATTCCCGTGCTCCTATGATGTGTGAGAAGCTCATCGAAATATTCGTCGACGCCACGTGACCGATGTGCGTTGTGCAAGCGCCCCTGATCCCCCGTGCCAAACGCGTTCCTCATGTCGTATGATTTGACAATATAGTAGTGTTTGCACGTGCGCAATTTCCACATGACAAGTTTGATCACGATCATGAGTCCCTCCCTCCTCCTGTGTATTATGCCACCGTACGCCCATATAGGGGGGTCGAACGTGCTACCATAGTCGACTAGTCCTACACGTAGTAGGAGTCGCCACCAGTGGCAGAAACAGTGAAGAAGTCTCAGGCATCGTGTGATATCCACGACCGTGTTACCTGTTGGCAGCTTACCTGGCTTGCTTATGGCTATGGCATGGCTGGTACGCGCGTGCTGTGGTAGTAGCCACCGTGCTCGAACGTGCGATAACAACTGTACCAGCATGTCGTGTCCTGCCCGAGCCTGGACATCATCAATTACAAGCTGGCGCCGAGGGCGGGTAGCCTGCGCCTTGAAGTCCAACAGGTCTGGGTCGCGGGCTCGCCATGTGGAGCCTACACCCTCGCGTGAGTTGCTCGGCCTGAAAAGGACCGAGGGGAAGAGGAGTAACTTCGTGACCTCCACTGGCCACGACCAAGGTGGCGCATACCTACGGTGGTGACAGTGACGTACCCTTGCCTTCAGGAAGTCAAGGTCTTCTGTCGCACACTCGATATCCTCGATCGTGGGCAAGGACAAACCTCTGGGGCCGTATGCTGGGAGCTCCTCTAGGGGGGCCTCGATCAGGGTCTTGATCTTATCTGGGCTCATGTGGACGCTTAAGACCGTGTCGACCGCCGTGAGCCCCCCCTCGATACCAGGTTTCTTAAGGGCTTCTCTGAAGTCGGTCGAGTTGGGGCGGCACATCGGGAGGGCGAGATAGCTTCGTTTCCTGGGTCCCGTTCTGGTACCAGCTCGAAGTCGGACGAGTTTGCCCACTCTAGCTTGATCCCGTACCTCCCATGCCTCCCTGATCTCCTGCTCGAGCGACTCCTTCCTCCACCACTCCTTCCACCTCGCGCGCGCCTTGATCATCGAGTCGATTCGACGAAGTGGTTCGCTGTCCAGCCGAAATCCCTGGTCCCGCATACTGGCCCTCCGAATCAGCAGTTCTCGTCTCTCCGCTTTGGCCTCCTGGACCCAGTCTGGAACGGAGTGTTCAGCCGAAACAAATTCCTGAGCGACCTCCCTGATGCTGTACGCGACGACGCCGGCGTGCCTGGTCGGCTCGCCGTCCGTGGTGAGGGCTCTGCACAACACTCTCTTCTCCTCCCAGACCTGCCCCATCCTGGCCAGGAACTCCTCTCTTCGGTACCCTGTCTGAAGTGAAGCGGCCAGGGCCCCCCAGTCCCACTGTATGTTCTGTTGTTGATCGCGGGGAGTGGGTGCTGGAAGGGATAGCCTCAGACACATGGGGACATGATCGATCATGTGTGGGAGGGCTTGGAGTCTCTTCTGAGATTTCCAGAACATATGCATTTGGATTCCCGTGTCCAGTAATGTTCGAGGTCCTAGAAAATAATCGATACGACTCCTAGCTCCTTTAAGCCCGTAAAAGGTATGTCCCAGGTCGAAGAATGTGTTAAGGAAGCTCATCTGGCTGTCGGCATACGACCTACGGGTAACTGTGGCCAGCTGATCCTCATGCTCGGCCTGGAAGGGTCCAATATATTCGTCGTGGAAAACCGTGCTCCCTTTCCGTCCCATCCGAAGGTTCATATCAGCGAAGACTATGGGTGTGATGCGCCCTGGGGCGTGGTCAATCTCCTCTCTAATCCAGGCTGTGAGCTGTCTACATGTCGTACGCCATATCTGGATGCGTCCTACCGAGCTGGTTCTAGGAGGGTAATATCCCACGATTAACCGTAGTCGTAGGGGTCCACGCTGGAGGTCTATGCTGCCAGCTCGTCCTTGCAAGTGGTGAGGCGGGTGGTTGATTCGTACGATATGTCTCTGCTGAAACTGGCGGCTGGATACTGCAATAGCTACTCCCGCGGCCGAGTTCGTACTACCTCCCCTGCCCCAACCCCAGTGAATCCAGTGGTGATCGGGGGTCCTCTCGTAAAAATGGGAATGGCCCAGGCGCATCGGTACCTTCGTGCCAGGGAGCAGGATGGCTGTTGTCTTGGCGAACTCCATTGAGATCGCCTCGGCTCTACCTGTCCGTACTAAAGCATATGGATTATATCCAATAAATGTGGCACGTATTCGTGATGGGGGTGTTGCCGGTGAAGGGGGAGACGCGATACTCTCGCCCTCTGTGACCCCCTCGGCCCGATCTGTCGACTCGACCTGCTCGTTAATCGCCTTCAGGCCCCGACCCATCATGATGCGGAGGAGGAGGAGGAGGAGGAGGAGGCAGGAGGCAGGAGGAGGCAGGAGGGAGGTGGTTGCCATGTCGCGCCGAAGCGTGGTTGGCCAACGCAGGCGGCGCCGCACGCGAAGCCAGCATTCCCAGCCGCGTGTCCTACAGATTTGCAGGGCTCCGCTGTCGCACCGACCCGCACACCACGCTCGCGTGCCCCGCGCTGCTTGAGAGGAGCCTTGGCCACGATAGGACAAGGAGGTTGAGCAACCCACGGCCCCCCTCCCCCGCCCCCTCCCCCTCCCTCCTCCCCCCTCCCCCCTCCTCCCCCTCCCTCCTCCTGCCCCCCTCCACAATTACTCAATATGAATACTACTCTCCTCCTTCCTCTGATGACGGGTTGGGAGTGTTCGCCCCCCCCCGCGTAATGTTTTTTTACACACAGGATTCCCCGGAGTTGGGTGTTCGCCTGCATTTGTTTTCAAAAGCCTGCTCTCGCTGAGGCGCCAGCCTCATGTTAGGGCCCCGCTCGTTCCGAATCGTGCTCCCGCTGCAACGCTGGCCTCATTTCCGTGCTTCCGCTCGTTCCGAATCGTGCTCCCGCTGCAGCGCTGGCCTCATTTCCGCGCTTCCGCTCGTTCCGATCGTGCTCCCGCTGCAGCGCTGGCGTCATTTCCCGTGCCATGCCACGGCATGCAATGCAATGCTAGGTTGCGTTCCGCTGCGCGATGCCATGCCTTCAGCTGAAGCTGTGATATGCAGTGCTTAAGTGCCACGTCGTGCTATGCCATGCTACGCTTTGATCTTCAACGCCATGCTATGCAATGTTATGTTCGGGGCCGCTGTGCGATGCCATGCTTTGCGTTGCAAAGCTTTGTGATGCAATTCTTCACTACGCCACGCCACGCCATGCTGTGACATACTACGCTTTGCGGTGCTCTTCTACGCCATGCCATGCCGTGCTCTACAATGCATCGCGTACCCTTTCGGGATCATTGCCCTGCTCGACATCCGACTGTGCGAGTAGAGAGGGGATCTACGCCATGGTAAGGGATGGGAGGGAGGGGTAGGATGTCAGATATGACGCGAGCGCACCTAGCTTGCCCCTCCCCCCTCCCCTCCTGCCCCTCCCCACCCCCCCCCCCCCCCCCCTCCCCCCCCCTCCCCCCCCCTCCTCCTCCCTCCTCCCCCTCCTCTCGCCCACCCATCCCGTCCCCCCTCCCCCCCTCGGAGGCAGGAGGCCTGCGGGAGTGGCCGCAGGCGTGACGATGATCACGCGAACACTGCTAACCACAAGATGCACACGTGTCTGATCCCACGCTCTTTGCTTTCAGTAGACCGTCGAAGCCGATGTTCATTTCGTTCATCAGGTAGTGAACGTCCAGGGAGCGGGCCGTGCCTTTGAGGTGAGAAATGCCCGAGATCAGGTGGTGCATGTCAACTTCGGGCTCGTTCCCGCGCAGCATGTCGAAGAGCTTGTCTGCGTCACTCGCTTCGAGGTCCATGGATGCCAGCCACGCCTGGATGCCGCTGTTGTGCATCATCTCTCTGAACTCACTCCTTGCAAGCCTCCTGTCGCCATCCTGGTCTGCGAGGGAGAGGAGCAGCTGCATCTTTTCTTTGTGCACGTGTTTGGCTCGCATCTTTGTCCTGACCATGATATCGTCGTCCGTGCTCGCCACTTTGAAAGTCTCCTGCATGAATCCGCCGCCGTGCCCTCTGGAACGCTGAGACGTTGTCGGATGCCAAAAGCGTCTCCGCCTGCTAGTGGGGGTAGGCCTTTGGGGGGCCAGAGTCAGCGACGAGCAGTCTTGGGTGGAAACATATTTTCTGGATAAACATATGCCCCTGGGCAATGGATTTCCAAAGAAATGGCCACGGCAGAACTGAGGAAATACATACGGCTGGCTTATAAGAGGGCCCGAATAGCATCCGAGGAATCAAGATCGCCTTCCCCCGACCCCCAAGAGGCTGACCCCATTAGCAGGCGAAGGAGATGCTATCTGGTATGATCACACGCACAGTCAAAACTGACAGCAATGATGCGCGGTCAGGATGCACACCCCTGTGGACGCCCGTGCCGAAGCTCGTCTTCGAGCGGGCCTGATCGAAAGAGGCTGAGGACGGACCGAAGCTGACCGAAGCGGCAAAGATGCAGGGGCACCCCATGGGAAGTCGATCATCTTTGCTATCAATGCTGACAGTATAACCCCCTGGCCCTCCTCTCTCGTCGCGCGGGGCTGCGTGGCCCACCCTCCTCCTCCTCCTCCTCCTCCTCCTCTTCCTCCTCCTCCTCCTCCTCCTCTTCCTCCTCCTCCTCCTACTCCTCCTCCTCTTCCTCCTCTCTCCTCCTCCTCCTCCTCCTCCTCTTCTTCCTCCTCCTCCTCCTCCTCCTCCTCCTCCTCCTCCTCCTCACCCCCCCCCTCCTCCCTCCTCCTCCTCTCCTCCTCCTCCTCCTCCTCCTCTTTCTAAACCTCTCCAACTCCTCCTCCTCCTCCTGCTACTCCTCGCGTCCTCCTCCTCCTCCTCCTCCTCTCCTCCTTCTCCTCCTCCTCCTCCTCCTCCTCCTCCTCCTCCTCTTCCTCCTCCTCCACCTACCCCTCCCGCTCGCGGACTCCCTGCGCTCAGGATACCCGGGGCGGCTTATTCAAGACAAGCCAGCGCAGACCAGGGCCGCCGGCATGGCCCAAGCTGCCTCCACGACTGCGCACCGTGGCCCAGGACGGCCCCAGCATGGCCGCGAGACAGCCCAAGACGCCCCGAATACTGCCCAAGAGGGCTTCGAGAGAACCGCCAGGAGGGCCCGAGGAGGCCAAACTCATGGATCGTCCTCTGGCTGTCACATGGCTTTCGTGACCCCGCCGTTTCGGACTTCCGTCAAGCTCAAGACGGCCATAAAGATCCGGGAGAGGGCCTCAAGACGGCCAAGAGGATCTCAGGATGGCACAAGAGACGTCCCAGCCGGCCACAAGATAAACCAAGGAAGCCAAATGACGACCCAGGAGATCTCAAGACGACCTGTCAGGTTCCCAAGAGAGTCCCAAGACTGCCCAGAGAACTCCGACGACGCCAGGCAGCCCAACAGCCCCCGAAGAAGACCCAAGGAGCCCCCAAGAGGCCCAGACGGGTCTTCAATACGCCCACGCCGAAAGCAAGACTCCAAGAGGACCCCAAGAGGCCCTGGGAGAGGAGGGAACGAGAGGACGGGAAGAAGACGACAATGATCACAAGAAAAGAGACAACACGGCACGACGCGGACGAAGGCGTCGCACGAGATGGATCCCCAAACCTTGAGGATACAACTTGTCACCCGTTACGGCGTCCAGTGGGCCCCTCGAACAACCACCACCCAGAGTGCTGAGTTGGCACTGCGGCGGGACTTGCCGCAGGCCGCTGGATACTGCATTCAGCACTCCAACCACAGCGAACCCCATTATAAGCTTGAATAGAATCACACCCACCATCCATCCCTCATGAATGTGCTCGACCAGGAACCGGCAAATTGGTGCCCAATTCGCGAGAGCCATCTCGAAAAGCGATAGCATCGCCCTGGTGTAAGTTCCGAAATACTTGAAGAGTTCTCGCTTCTGCATCTCGGTCAGACCAGCCGTCGAATCCTGTTGCAAGTACACTCCACGCACAACGTTCGTTATAAGCATCGCGAGGAACGTCTGCATGAGCAACAGCAGAAGGGCGGACCAAAGAAGCGCCCAGGAGCTTGACTTGAGAGCAGTCGTCATGAGGTGGAGAGCGTCGAACTCCTCGATGGTTCTCAGCAGCCTCACAAGCCGAAGTAGCTTGGCAGTCCTCAAGAACCTGAACAGCTGGATGTTAAAGGATCCAGACAAATTGCTTGCGTGCTGCATCACAATGCTGATGTTCGAGGCGACGACAACCGTAAGATCAAAATACTCGGAAGGGTGTCTCCAATATTGTCGACCAAGCCCGGCCATTCGCAAACAGACTTCAACTGTGAATATGATCCGCCCCCGTGCCGCAGACACTGAGCCCACAATGGTCCTCAGTACGCTGAGCCGGCTAGATTCAATGATGT